TGTCAGTATAAACTGGGCATTTTTGGGGGTCATGTTACCCTCGCTTAGACCACTAGGCCCTCCTGAGTGCCCGACAGCTTCAGGGCAGTGTGGGGGAAGTTAGTGTGAGGTGCGTGGGAGGCCCCCCAACTCCTTTGGGGCCTCTATCACACATTTAATCAGACCCAGACTCTCTGGCCCTTCCAAGCAGTAGAGAGGATGGCACGGCGGGACATGGAACGAGAGTGTGACCATGTAGTGCACTTTTTAAATGGCCCCTAAGACAGGTGTAGGAGTCCCTGGGTGGCACAAACAAGAGGCGCCTCAGAAGAAAGAGCCTGGTGATCTGCTTCCTAAAGGTCACAGCCTTGAAAACCCTATGATGCACAATTCTGCCCTGCACACATGGGGTCGATTCAACAGGGATTGGTTTGTTTTTGGTTTTTAAGACAGATGTAGGCTCTACCCAAGAAACAAACTGAATCCTTATTTTTATTATTTGCCTCTAGGGAATGGCAAATGGAGAGGGCCTTCCAGACAGCTCTGTGGTTGTTGCAGCCCGAATTGGTCTTTATTCTGGGGGACATCTTTGATGAAGGAAAGTGGAGCTCTCCCCAGGTAGGACCCTGTGGTACCAGCACCCCAGTCCTGCTCTGAGGGCCCAGCACAGGCACTTTGGAGAACTCGTAGAATAGCATCAGCTTGTGCTGGAAGTTTGCTTAGTACTGATATTCCAACAGATAGTCTGCCTTGAAGACTTTTAGGACCTGTCAGATGCTACTCTTGAGTTAGGCTGGCTACACTTATATTTTTGTCTGTAGGAATATGTCAGTTAGCCAGACATCACTGGAATGTTGGAATGCACTTGCCTGTGTAACTCGTGGGATGGGAAAGACAGTCATGATGGATGTGATTTCTGTTGTCACCAAAATGACAGAATACATTGAAGTGCCCAGTTAACTTCACACTCTTTCATTTTACCATTAAATTATGAGAATTGTGCTACAAAAGTTCCTTGCTTCTCTCCTCTTATTTTCTTTCTTGCGAGTGAGAGGCTTGGTGTGCAGTTCCTCTGCCTTTAGGGGGCTGAGGTCCCTGGCTGGCTATTACGGTGACAGAAGCTGGTCCTAAACCACAGAGAAAGGTGGTTCTCACCTTTGCGTCAGGATTCTTTGCTTATTACCTGCCCGGAATGAATGAGAACAGGGCTCTTCTTGCTGCTTAAGTAAAAATGCTCAGCTTGTCATGGTTTGGGGGAAGGGGATATTTAAAAGAATCAATTGGGACTTCCCAGAACAGTCCAAAAGATGTACAAATAAAGTCTTGGTCCAGATATGATAGGAAGCTACTGTTTATAGGGCTGTAGTGTTTGTTAAAACTTAGGCTATAATTAAATATGAGGTAATGAAATCCTATATGTAAGAAGCTACTGGTTGTCAAATGAGGCTGGATGCCTATGTTGCTTTTGTAAAATGAA